ATTGTAACGAGTCTTTAATAGTTAAAATTTTTACGTTTCTGATTTAAAAATCTGCTTACATATTTTTTTCAATTATAAATAAGTTCAGTGCTAATAAATATTTTATATAGGACTTCTAAAGTATCAGTTCTTAAAGTATAAACTGATCTATAATTATCTAACAAACTTTACCAAATAAAAATATACTATAATTAATATAAAAGCTAAAATTAAACAGGATATAAAGTCTAGTTATTCTATTATAATTATAATTCATCCTATTACATCCCTCTTTTATCATAAATAAAGTAATGAACACTTCCTAATATCACTTTTAGGAAAATTGAATTCTTCTAGCAATTAGTTTATGTTAGCAGTTTAAATAAGGTTTATAGGGCAAATCAAAGAAAAGAGAAAGGAGCCTGTTAGGTAGCCTATTATAAGTTTACATTTACACTGCAATTATATCTTACGTAATTTCGATCGAATATTTGAGTGTAATTTCGCATAAGGCCGTAAGTAGTAGTATCAAACTACTTTTTAATAGGAACATAAATATGAAAAGGGTTAAAATTTCACGTACGACGAAGATAAAAGATACGGCGAGTTTATTATTTAGCCGGTATATTACAGAAAACCAATTAAAGGAGGAAGGAAAATTGTGTGTTCGTGGAGAGTTCAAGTAAAATGTATAAGCTTCAAACAATCAGACACACTGGAACCGCCTCACGGTACCTTACGATTAAACAACGGATACGCCCAACAAGAGGACCGTTGATTCTTCTGACTTAGTCGGCGGGGAGTAGGACGACCCTAGAAACCAGTCTTCCAGATTACCTGTCAGTCCCAAATCCCCGGACATGTTGTACATCCCTTGTTTTCATCACGCCCACCCATCCCAAAGTCCTGGAGTCTAATCCCCCATTTACCCTCACCGGCTTTTGGTCACTGCGCATGCACAGTCGATTAGTTGGCGAATTCCCCGTAGCCTAGCTGTCTCTCACTGGAGGGCCTCCATGGTGCTAAACCGTCACCAACTATGGCACAAATGGAGTTCGTATTGGATTTGACAAAGTGACAATTCGTCCCGCTTCTTTCACTTCATTTAATACCTGAGGGAAATTTGAACGGCCTTTAATTAAGTATGAAATGTTTTTGGCTTTTTGACTCGAGCGAATTCAAGTCGAAAATTTCCAGTTTTCATCTTTTCTTCCTTTATTACATTACACAAACAAGATTAATAGTCGTAGTTAACTTAAAACTGTTTACTTAAACTTTAAAATGCTGTAAGTCTTTCATTAAAACCTAAAAATTTCTATTAAAATCGAATAAATATTTAAGTCAGAGGAGAATTTAAGACTCAAAAACAACCATTAAAACTATTTAAAAATTATTAAATAAAAAAAAAATCGAATATTAAAATTTGTTTATAAAATAATTCTGCATTAGTAAATGTAGAGATATTTAAACAATGATAGTTTAACGATCAGAATTTTTCACATTTAAATATTCAAAATAAGTTCTACCATACTTTTAAAATCCTGTAGAGTATTGCCTAATTAAATTTAAAATAAATCTGTTAATTATTCATAATTCGCCAGAAATTTCGTATAGGAATCTATTTTCCGGACTCAAAAACAATCAAAATATTTTTTGTTTTAAAATTTCGTTACTTGTACGTAATAAATAAAAAAATAATGGATATTTTCCATTTAAAAAAATCACTTATTAAACTTTATTAAATAAATTTTAAAATGTTTTTAAGTTTACATTCTAGTTGAATTCTATTTTGTGTCAGATAAAGGAACATGATCAAAACCTAAAGTGTTAATCTCCATTAATTCCTTGTATATTTTCTTATCTGAAAATTGTGTATTTTTCCTTACTGAATATCGAGACCGCGCTGTCAACGTTATTAGCGCAGTAAATTTACATATTAGTGGTAGGGCAGAGAACAGCTAGAGACAACAACACGCCGAAGTGACATTGATCTATGGATTGTCGGTTTGCAAGAGGGGAGCTGCATGTCATAGGTGTGACGTAAGTCCTTCCAAAGCACATTTTGAGACCAATGCCTCCTTATCGTCGGCTTCAAACGGAATACTTATTATTTATGAAAGTATCGTTGCTTACAGCTTGGACAATTTAAATTGCCTGATGACTTTATTCTTAGAAATTTCAGAATGATTATTAAATACTCTTTAGCTTATACTATTTAATTTTATTATCTCTGACGGTCGATACAAAACAAAATAGAAACGGTTTTCGCAGAATAAAGCCGTTAAAAACTTCTTTTTATATTATTGACTGAATTGAAAAATCGATAAAATACTTTTAAATAGATTTATATTTTTATATAGGCCTATATAAACTTCAAAGCAGCATAAATCCCGTTTAAGTACAAAACTCTCTTTATTTATTTTTTTAACAACTATCAAATATATATTTTTATGAATAAATTATTTCGTTGCACTAAATCTAAATTATGTATTTTCTAAATTATTTAATATATATACAACATATATACAAACACATATATATTGTGTGTCTATCCATTTGGGCCACATGTCGAAAACTCAATGATAAATTAAGGTTATGGCTTACGACTAGACCAAGAATAAGGACCGATGAAATATGGTTATCTGATTAGTTTCAGAAGATCGAAAGAAAAAAATTGTTTTAAACTTTGACATCTGAGCAAATTGGGTGGGCTTGAATTGTATAGACATATCTTTCCCCATAAAGTTTAGGATAAAAATGATACGGCGTACACACTTAAAGTAAATACATGTTATAGCCTATGTAAATGCACTTAAACCTAATAAATATTACTCAAATTATTTTATATAAACTATTTTCAAACTATATATTACATAAATTTTCATCAAAATCTTATTATTTTTTTTATCTGGTGCAAGCAAATCTTTCAAGTATGAAACTCGTAGGATGCTATGCTATAGCCTAAGTAAATAATCTTTGTTTTTATAAAAACAAGTCGAAGATAATTTAAATGTATATGCTTAAAATTACGGAAAAACAAAACATTAAATTTACATTTAAACATTATATACATATGCTCTTTTTTACTTGAAATTTTAGGTATTCATAATTAATGATGTCTAGACTTATAATAATTATGACTACTCTAATGAGTAGTTTAGATTATGTGAATGCCATAACATAAAATAAAACTATATTTTTTAATAGAATATAAATTTATTCGTTAAAATTTTAATAAAATTAACTCTAAAATAAACCAGAACTTTTATAATAGGACAATAAAGAAAATCTATAATTTTATTTTGAGAACAAATTTAATTTCATTTAACTTACAAATTAATTTATTTCATTTTGGCAAACATATAAGAACTTTTAAATTTAAAGTTTCATAATGATTTTGCCAAAATTATAGACCTATTTTTGGCCATAATTTTAAAAATTAAAATGCAAAACAAGAACAAAAACTCCATAATTCTTGAAGATTTACTGTTTAACAATCTGATTAAATATAGAATTTAAAACAAAATACTTACTTTAGTAGACAAAAACTGGAAAAAATTCATTTAAATGTATGAATTGGTCTTTATTTTCTCAGAGGATTCTCAACTGCATCACTTGAAGCACTCGAAAACATCGGAGAAAACAGCACCTCAAAGATAATATTTATATTTAGCAAGAATCTTAAACTTAAAATAATTTAAGAAATATTAAATTTATTCATAAACAAATCTTTTTACTCTATTATTCAGTCTGTATACATATATTTAATACAGTTAAAACAAAAACTTACCTGAAAAATTCATCACTTAAACCATTGTGAATAATTACAATTTTATATATATAAAAGAATGTAAAGTATTTGTTTAAACAATAAGAAAATATATCTCGATAAATGCTTAATATTCTACGGAAAGTGTTATGTAGAGTATAGATTTTTAATCTATAAATAGTCGTGTTTTAAATTTCATAACAAACAAAATGCCTTTGTTTACATTTTAAAATCTAGTTTAAATAGACAAGTTTACTGTCAATGTCAAGTGTAAGGTAATAAAATATAACATAAAAGTGTCGTGTGATGACTTATGTAATTTTAAACTTACCTGTGGATTTAGTCTAAAGCTGGTGCTGAAATGTTTATATATGATTGATAAAAGTTTCGGTGAAAACATCATTAATTTCTCTAGTAATCATTTATATTTCCGTTATTTTCCGCACACAATATGGCGTGAGTATAAAACTACCATCTCCATAATTTAGAATGATAATATAAATTCGTATTTAGAAGCGGATAAGATTTTTAAGTTCAATAATATTCAGGTTAAAGTTTAGAATCGGTAAGCTACACGAACAAGTTTCTGAAACTGGAATCGATTAATCTAGTTAGATCACTTTCAATTGAATAAATGTTTAGCTGATCGAAGGAATTTCATTATCGCATCTCGAATCACATCATTAAGTTTGTATTGATATGCAAAATTCCTCATTTAATTATAAATTAAATACGAACTTTCTTGACTATAACAAACGTATAATTCATAAATAATTAATTCGTACACGAATATTTTATGTTATCATAGTAAGTATTAAAGATTTTGCAACATAAAAAAGTAAAAAAAATGTAGTGATAATAAATCAACAAGTTGTCAGTAAGTTTAATGTTTTTATAAGCTGTCTGTCTGTGTGTATGTTATGCGAAAAAAATTGCATCTATATCGACATCGTTTTCAGGAAGTGTCGTTTTTATTGCATTCTTCTCTGAAGAAAAAAAATACAACGAGTGTAAGATACTCCTCCCAGATCAGATGTACACATACAAAATGGGAGAAGATGCAGTTGACATAAGTTAGACCTAAAATGGGGTATCACTTCAAAATAACACAACAGATCTGTAATAACAATAACAAGAAAATATGGGCGTTGGGGTAATGGCTTGATGTAAATTGGGGGGGTCACACAGTCAGCACAGCTTTGTAAATGCTGTTGTCGAAACTTATAAACAACATAATACATACATAATTTTGTTTTTTTTTCCTTAACCTTTCATCACTATAGATCACTAGGCGTCTAAGAAATTGTGCATTAGACGAAAACAGAAATGAGAAATGAAAATAATTCTTTTTTTCACAACCCTTTGCAACCTTGACAACAATATACAAATTCGCGTAATTCCATACATTCTGAAAACCGTACATAAAATATACAGTACATGTAAATTGATTACATACATACCTCCAGGGGAAATTTATACACGGACAGTCAGGTAGTCAGTGTGAGAATTGAATATTTGAAAAACACACGAACGTAAATCTATCCATACAAACCGGTATGTATGTACTGTACATACATGCATATGTGATACAAAAGCTACATACATACAAATTAAAGAACATTTTTATCTCTTCTTTTTTATATCATCGTCAACTCGTGTAGGTAGATATGCTTATAAAATGTTGAAATATTTATTGACTTTAAAATTAAAAAAGATTTAAACCGTTCCTTTCTTTTCTCGTGAGACTGTCGCCGGAAGGGAAACTTGGGCGCTTGTTTTGGTGCCTCTTTACGTAGAATAGTGCAAGCGGATGTTAAATGTATGAGGAGAACATGATCGATCAGTAACCGCGCGATAAAAATGTCCATTTATATTCAGTAAACGTCGTATATTTGGAAAGCACATATTGGAAAATTCTGTGATGCATGTTGTGTCCACTCAATCCGATTTTAAGCGGTTTGACCAATAGGGCTTCCTATTCTCATACATCCTTTTAAGGGAAAGAACATTTACATAGCTTAAAGTGCGATAGAAAAACAATTTTGGCCGTGATTTTTCCTTGAAAATGTTAAAAATATGAATCTATTTAAGCTACTCTGATAAGTGTTTTTTAGTAAATATCCTTTAGTACAAGTAAGATGTTGATCCCTAAATATATTTTCATCTTATAAATTCCTTCAATAATGCTATCTAAATCAAATTTAAATGTCACATATTTTTGAATAAATTTAAAATAATAAATAAACTTCGATTATTTTATCATTAGCATTGGCATATTTCATTTCTAAACAAAAAAGAAATAAAAACAATTTAAAGTAAATTTATTTTTGACAAAGTTTCTAAAGAAAGTATCAAATCATTCATTTTAAAAAGCGTGGTTATGATCCTTTCATTTAAATTTAGATCCGTACTTAAATGAAAAATTCGCAGCGTGTTTCTGAATATCCTTAAAGATTCTCCCCCCTTTTAAATATACATTTTATGTATAAAAAAATTGTGGTTAGATATAAATAAACCGTTAAAGAAAAAAAGATAAAATTAAATGTAAAATTCAAAAAAACAGTATAAAATTTTACATATATTATAAAGAATTAAAAGAATTTAAAGAGCAACATACCTGTAAAACGAGCTTACTAGATGTAATATTTCTATAAAAAAAGAAATTATTGTGATTTCATACAAGTGAATACAGTGAAAGTAATACATAATAATAATATACATGTCTGTTCTAAAGATTAAGAAAAAATTAAAAATTTAGATAGTGTAATAATATATAATTTGATTTATTGCCAGTCATTAAATCAACAAGGAAATCAAACGCTAATAAAATTGATAAAGACGTCGTTAAAACAAAATTCGGTACTTTAGGTGATTCTAAGAATGGATCCATTTAATTTTGGAGGACGCAAAACTTACGTGACAAAATGCATTGGTACGACCATTTACAATGGCTGAACGTGTAATAAAAATAAATCATAGAAAAACAGAAAAACCAACTCTTTTAAGCTATAAAATAAACAGACAATTTTAAAAATAGAATACGAGCCTATTAAAATTATGGAATACGGCAATTTTTCTAAACTAACGAAGGTAAATATTGTTTTTTAAAATTTATCGATAAAATTAGAAAATAAAAATAAACGAAATATATTACAAATAAGAAAAACAAGGCATGATTCGATCATATAAACGCAAGAAAACAAATGAACATGAAACAAGACACGTGGGTAGCACGTGGTATATCCATTTACAAGGTCGTAGTTCCTTCATTTCCTTGCAACCTTGTCAGCTAAAGTCATTCGTTTTGATAGTTTTAAGGACGGGCAACCACGGAACACTAGCTGCGTTTTTCACTGATATTGAAGGAAGAGATTAATCGGTTATTTCTCTTGTAGTCGGCGGGTAACGTGGTTTCATTAACACAAATAGGAAGAGAAAAAATGTTACTATCTACTTAATGTGATCTCCTATCTTTAAGAGCTGTCGTTTTTCTTGTCTGTGCGTTAATCATACAGGCATGCTTTGGAAACGATCGCTGTTTTCCGTATAAACGATAATACCAGTAGGTTAGAAGCAATCAAGAGGTTTTATTATTGCCGAGGTTTTGAGAAATGACTAATATCAATTTATTAATTAGACTGTTATAATCCTAAGATTTATTGATAAATATTATTAAGCTTCTTTTAACCAATAAAATAAATCGAAAAATACTTCTATAAAATATTCTTCACGTAAACAATGAGAAAGGAGATTTAAATCTATACATCAACATTTTACAATTTTTCCTTTATCTATAACAACGATTTACATTACCTGCTGAAAAAAAAAATTAATTTTTCCCCCTTTAGGAATTTAAAACATATTTTTCTCCATAAAAAAGAAAACTCAATGCCAAATTTTCAATTAAAATTCTCAAATATTTTATACTTATAGTAATAAGATTTTTAATTATTTAAATTATTATGAAATTATTCCTCTATTGAATGATATACACATAGGCCTAGATCTAGAAATAAACTCATTTAAGGAACATTAACATCAAAGGCGAGTAATTCAATCGCTGTTGATGTCACGTAAAATCAACTCTTCAATCTACATTCATTTTCATTTAATGAATTGACATTTTAAGAATATAAAAAAGAAACTTGACAGATTTTAATAACGATAAAACTATCAAGAAAAGAAACTAAAAGTTTCTCTTTATTATTATTATTACTTTTTTTTTTGCTAATTTTGAAGGATCTATCTTACAACAATAGAACTATTAGCAGAGACATGTTTATTTACATTATTGATTGATTATTGATCAAACTGACTGATTGTTCATTCAAATATATTAAATAATTATAATTATTATGTTATTTTAATTTTTTAAAGCTTGTTAATTTAGAAAGAGGAATAATTTTTGTTAAATAGTTTCCATTCTAATTAAAATAAATGATAAATGTTACTTCTTTATAAGAAAGTAATGCGAAGAATATTCGGATTTCTTATATAAAAACATTGCTTTAAAATTTAATATTTTTAAAGCACGAATAAGTTGGGAATTATTTTTAAAATCGTATCACTATTTAATGCGGATAACAGATATTAAGACAAAGTTTACATTATAAACGTGAGATCGGCCTTAATGTTCGTTGGGTACAGTCTTCTCTCCATTAAGCGACGAATATTCAATCAATAGTGTTTCGTAGGAGAAAAGAAGAGGGAAAAAATTTACAGAACAATCGATGGAAGGCATAAGAAGCAAGTAACGACTTTAGACAGGGATGACCTGACCCTAGTGTTCGGCCGCAACTCTGATCCAGGGAAAATAATGAATGGTAGGATCGGTAACCAAGACAGAAGCCTGGTTAATTGTGTCGTAAGCCTGGAGACTTAGGCTGCCATCAATCAAGCCAGTGTGGCTTGTCGTTGATGTTGTCGACTGCTACTTTAAGCTGATGCTTCAGTCACGTGATTTAGTGACACAATGAACAAAGACCCGGAATTTTCATCAATATAACCTATATAGTTATTTTCTACGTTTATTCTGTGCAGATCTATATATACCTTTAGGTCTATTATTCCTTTCCTTACTAAACTCTAATGTTTAAATGGAAGAACCACTTCTAGCTAATTTAAAGTTAAGATTTTTTTATAAACGATTTACTGGAAGAAAAACTATTTGTCACAAAGATAACAAATTGATACTAAAGTACAAAATAATCTACAACAGATAAAATCTATAAGTCTAAATCACACAATAAAATAAATCATCCGGTAGCTTTAAATAAAAAGCTACAACTTGTAAATTTAAAAGTTTAATTTTAGTCAATTTAACGTTTTAAATTTATTAATTTACTCGAGTTAGAACCCAATTATATATATTTTTGAATATAGGAGAAGAAATCTAAGGTTAAAGTTCATACAGTTGTTAACATAGGTTCAGATATCGCCAGTTAATCAATATTATGTTTTGTAAAGATATAACGATGTTTATTATGATTTATAGAACAATGTAAAGCTACTCTTAGACTGATTTTATCATGTTATAATTCATACATTTTAACATAAATGTATAGATAAGACTAAATCAGATTTCATGTATTATTTAACACGATAACCTGTAACATGAAACACGTAAAAAAAGTTAATTTAACCCAAATGATTTTAATAATTATAGATAAAATAAATAAATGAAAGATAAAATTAGTGTTTTTCTTCCTGTACGTCAAAAATACAGCCCAAATTTCGATTTTATAGTTGTTAAATAAATTGGATTCTTTAAAAAATAATCGCATAATTTATGTTTAAAGTTTTCTGTTTCTTAATATCGATTCAAACCTATAGATTGTTTAATATTTAAATTTCAAGTTATTATACTCCATTCTGGAGTAGCAGTGAATACATTATTTAGTTAGTGTTCAGTGGCTGGAAATTTCCCTACGCCGAACTTTAGCCATCGTAACTTGCAAGAGGAGCAGGCAGCTACTTATTATGTAAACCATGTTCCGGGGCGGAGGGAGGTTAAAGTTGCCCACTATAGGCTCTACCCAGAGAAGTCTCTGCATTAGAGACGGCCTTTCCCTTCTGACCTCTGACCCATAACATAAGCACTGAACTATTTCGATAAGTCATTCCACCGAGCCACTTTCAAATTAAACAACAAAAATTTCGACATTTTCTAAAATTAATTTAATTCGAAGAATAAATATACGCTCAAATACGATAAATAAACCACATTTAAATTAAAAAAAATACATAAGTTTCTTAACAAGCAAATGAAGTATTTACAATCAATTATACGAAACATGGAACAAAACCCATAGAAAGTAGGAACAAGTAAAAACTTTCGAAGCTGAACTGAAACACATTTTTTGAATTTGTAACAAGGCGTTAACATAATAAGTCGATTCAATGCCAATAAGTTGTCAAGTTTAGTTCCAATAGATTTGTTATGAATAGATTATTCAAGGCCGATTTCCATACGCCTATCAAATTGCATTATCTGGCTAACAAAACATCGCTACTTCAAAGTATACAACCTGTTTGAATTTAAATGTTGTAACGTATATCTTATTTCATAATCATCGTATAAGTTCGGCATAATAAAAACAGTAGCCCACATCTAGAATTACAAAGAATAGAATCGATATAAAGATAAAAACACCATTCCATAAATGTAACCTGGATAAGTACTAACTTACTTCCATTCAGATACGCGCATTTACAAGAATTGATAGGAAACGACTAGAAAATTACTAATTTCTAATTATTCTTATTCAAATTTTCAATGTTTAATAGTTAAATTTAGAATCTGTTATGAAATTGCGAAGATTAAGTATTGTAAATATTATTGTAAATACATGGAAATTACTAAACTTATTCATCATATTTATAGTAAATGACAGCAATTAAAATAACTTACACATGAATCTGACATTTTAGTGTTAAATTTTTATAAGAAACGTCATATTTTGCCACTAATTTTATAAAATAATTATAAAAAAATAAGCATATAAACCCTATATATTCTTATACATAAACACAATTAAAATTACTTTTTAAGAATAATATGTTTTAAAAAGTAATAATTTATGAATAAATAAGCTTAAAAATCCATATGCCAATGCTAACAGATAAATAATCATCAGAAAATGCGTATTTTTACAAAAATTATTTTTTCGGTTTTAAAGTTTAGGGCGTAGTTAGAAAATGTAAGTAAATATTTTTTAGGAGGTTAGAAATTTAGATAAGTTCAGGTTTATTTATGGCTTGTAAATGACTTGTGTCTTTACAATGTAAGGCGATTTTCAGACATAATTTACGGAATAATATAAGTAATATAATAGGTATTAAATATATATTTTTATGAATAAATTATTTCGTTGCACTAAATCTAAATTATGTATTTTCTAAATTATTTAATATATATACAACATATATACAAACACATATATATTGTGTGTCTATCCATTTGGGCCACATGTCGAAAACTCAATGATAAATTAAGGTTANAATTTTGAAGGATCTATCTTACAACAATAGAACTATTAGCAGAGACATGTTTATTTACATTATTGATTGATTATTGATCAAACTGACTGATTGTTCATTCAAATATATTAAATAATTATAATTATTATGTTATTTTAATTTTTTAAAG